CATTTTAATCTTTTTCTTTCTTTTATCTCGAAAAGAAGAATGAAAACTAATTTTATCTTTTTGTATTTGATTTTTTCGCTGCTACCAGGCTAAGAACTATTCCAACAACTATAGGTGGATGCATTTCTCTTGTTGAAGTATGGACCCATTTTCATTATCTAAGCTTCATTTCCTTCTGTTTTAACTATGTCTTAGCTATGTTTTAACTTCCTTGCAGGTTGATCTTTCATGTAATCTCTTGTCTGAGTTGCCAGAGACATTTAGCGATTTAAGAAATTTGAAGGTTAATCCTTCATCCATAGAGTTTTTAGTATTTGATGTTGTTGTCTATTGACCTTCAATAGAAAACAGTTGAACACGGAATTTACAGCTAATACCAGTTTCTTTGTGTTATGTTTTATACGATGCAGGCATTATATCTTGGTAATAACGGGCTCAAGTCCCTGCCTAACATGCTATTCAAGATGTGCTCACAGCTGTCAATACTGGATCTTCATGGCACTTCAATCACAATCGAACTTCTTCGCCAGGTAAAAGCCATTTCTTCCAAAGGAAAACTCTTTGTACGAAAATCCACACAGCACTATATAAACCACAGCACTAACAGTTTATATGCATCAAATCTTTATGTTTTCTCCCTCATACAACAAGCCAAGCCAACAATCTTTCGGATATTGTATTCGTCTTGTAGCTTTTGAAGTTATTGAAGGATAAATGAGTAATCTTGGCTGAAATCATAAAGAAAAAAATAACTACAAATTTTACATATCAACAGTTTGAAGGATGGGAGAGTTTTGATGAGCGTCGCCGCCTAAAGCATCAAAAGCAACTCGATTTTCGAGTCAATGGATCTGCTGACTTTGATGAAGGTGCTGACAAGGACTGGTAATAGAAAATAGTCGCTGAAAATGATGATTCGATTTTCTGAAGCTTTACTCACAGGAAGTTGCATCGATAGAACATAGTCAATGAAACTGTTGTAATGCAAAAGTCTCAAAATTGATGTGTTTCCATTGTGGAGAGAGAATCTATATTTGCTTGGAATGCATTTGATTTTCATGTTTACAAGGGAAGTTTGTAAAAAATAATTCCAACTTTTGTGCCTGATGAATTCAATCATTTTACATGTGACCAACTTTATGAACCGATTGCAGAATAAAAAACCGAAAAGAGCTAAGAGATAAAAGCTTGATGGGATCTATCATTTGATCTTTTCAAAATATATAAAAACTTATATACAATAACAAAAACAAATTTATCCAAACTGAGCAGTAAATTACAAATAAATTACTCGGTAAACACGTATGTATAAGCTTCTAAATCGTTGTAGCTCAGCACTGTACATGAGTACTTCATGATAAAAGATATTGTCGTAGAATTTACCATCAACGGAATAAGCTCAACACTACTGCCAAAGTTTGCATCCAAAGAAGCAATTCCCAAAAACCACTGATTTCTCCCTGTGAATGCCCAAAACCAACTTCATTTAAAAGGCAAGAGATATCTTATTCCGATCAATATTGGACAAATATCAAACATGAACCGAAGCACGATGCAACTAAAATAATAGAATCTACTTTGATGATAAAAGTGAAGTGCAGTTTCATTTACCACAAGTCATCTGTGCTCTATGTATAATCAACTACTTGGATCTCACCAGATGCACCTCTTCTGCTCCTGATTGCCCTTGCTTTGCCCTCATGTATCTCTAGAACCTAGTCAAAATAAATCATATATGTATAATATATTGAGGGGAGAAGATTTTCAAGAGAAGAAAGCAATTCAAATTCATCAATACTTATATGCGTTTGTATTTCCTTTTTCTTTGTTTTTTTATTGCTCCATTGAATAAGAGTATCGAATACACGGAGAGAGATCAAATGTTCTACAAAATCCCAATTGTTATTTGAAAGGAAAGAGAGGACATACCTCAGGCCTTGAATCAAGTACTCCTCTAGACATCCCCACATCAATACGCCAAATACTGCAGTTGAATTTGCTGCAGACAATCAAACTCGCATTCAACAAGACGAAATCAGTCCCGTTTGAGATTCAATATCAAGTATCATTTACAACAATAATGATATGAAAGAACTAAAAAACGAAATCAATCCCGTTTGGTCTCTGTTGATGTAATTGATTGTAGAAAAGCTTATCTCTTGCATATATACATCTTATTTGTATAAATATAAATGTCAACATTGTCTAAACTCTCCTGTGCAGCCTTCTTGTTTCATATTCTCTCGTTTTTTATTAATTTACTTCGGTTCTTCACAGTTATAATTAATATCATTGAAAGCTTTATGTGAATGCTTCATGGAAGGCTGGAACTACTGCCCAAAAAAAAGGCCTTGCCTTTAGTTTCTTTTTTCACTTTTTTTTTCCTTTCTTCTTTTTATATTTTATATTTACATCTTTCACATACAAGCAAACTATGAAATTAAGATTGAAGAAACGCAATCAAAGCTTATTTACCAATTTACTCCAGTAGCCTGTGGAGTGTGACCAACAACCATTGCCTTCGCACCTAGTGCTTGAAGCGTCTCACCAAGAATAGATTGGGTCTGATAAGAAAAAAGTATTAGATGGTCATAATGTGTCAGAGAAAGAAAATGAATTAACCATATTAATAAGAAATGAACAGCAATGTAACTAAGCATAATTAATTTATCTCTGCAGCACGCAGACGCGCAAAAATATATCATATAATTCTGAAAATTATTCCCATGTAAGGAATCATTTAATCCAAAAAATTGAAATGGATTCAGGAAAGAAGTATAGCAAAATGTCAATTGAAACTAAGATAATAAGATCAACAGAAGTTACTAAAAAGAAATGCATACCCTCATGCCGTGGGCATTAAGGATTGTCTGAAAACACAACTTAACGAAAGGAGATATTGAGTTCAAAGAAGTATAACGTATGCATTTCTGCCCGTTACCCCCTAGAAGCTAAGAATAGCCTTTCTATATTTTTTTTTTTTTTTCATGTGTTTGCAAATACTCTCTACTTGAGCTGAAAACTAAAAGCAACACAAGTAAGGTTTTTACCAAACGCAGTTACAGTTGCTCAAAAGTAGTGATGAAGATCATGTATTCTTCTTACAAGATCCATGTCCTAACGTTTATGGCATAATAGATTCAAATCCTAGGTACACTTTCCAGTGACCAGGCTTTCAAGACAGCACGGAAAGTGAACACAAAAATGACAATATTATAATAGAAAAGAACCTGATTGATCTGATATTCTTGCAGATCTGACGTCTCTCTTGAGTATAAACGGCTCCAAACTACACTGTCATACCCTCTGATGGCTAAAAAGGGGATCTGAGGATAATCATCGTCCGTGCAAAGGCCTTTCATCCAATAAGATACTTCTCTGTTCATCCTCTCTATGCCGTACTCAACTGCAGCAGCAGAAAAGCTCCATTAGATACTTATTGCATTTTAAACTAGTCATATTTGAAAGATTAGGGTCTATAGTAAATCAGAAAAACTTCTGTCGTGCAGCCTAACGAAACAAAGTCGGTCAGATGGGTGAACCCGTCATACTTTTTGAACAAAACTGATTAAATAGTTAGTTTATGGTATTCCAGAAAACTACGACATTCCATTGTGAAAGTGTGCATTTTTTTTTCTTTGGTTGAGAAATCGTGTCCACAAATAAAATAGGTTATCTGAAACAAGACACATATAATAGATCATACCGTGATGAGGAAGAAGGCCACCATGGCAGAATATCCAGTCATTGATTTTGAGAACAACTGGATGTTGTGCCAATTCAGATGCCAATGAACCTCCTGGTCGTAGCAGAATTGATCTTGAGATCACTCCTTCATGCTTCTGTCCTAATAGTCAGATGATCAGATTAGAAAAATAAATACCACTGTGTGTAGTAACCTACAAAAAGTGGATGAAACTTCCTTTCCAAATGGACGATAGGGGAATCAACTTGATAACTATAAAGGCTGTGTTTACTAAGCATATAAGGTAGCTTATAGCTTTTTTCATTAGCTTATAATCTTCTTGTATTCAAATAAGCTTGGTTTGGTAGGACGAGCTTTCTTAAAAAGCTCGAGCTTATCTCATAAGATTCCTTGGTAGCTTTTCAAATAAGCGCATTGAAATTTTATTTCACCTAGCTTATCAGCTAATTTTACCAAACACTTTTATCATATAAGCTAACTTTTCAGCTTTAAGTCATAAGCTATAAACTCGAAATTCACTTAAAAGCTATAAGCTAGTTTATCAGCTAAGTTTACCAAACATAGCCAAAAAAAGAGGGTAGGGTTGAAGTCAAACCTCTAGAGGCAGGGTAATAAAAAAAAAAGAACACGTACATTTTTTGTGAATTCAAGTAATTAGACACTTATAATGCAATCGCCTGATCAGCCTAGGTGGCACGGCACTCAATGGCCTCAAAATTTCGTCAACTCAAAGCCATACAGAGCTACCAGAAACAGATCCCATCCAAAAAATGTAGCTCTACAGACCAAGAACTTCATTATGTGTAATGCACGAGATCAAATTGTTCGGTAATGCAAACAATATATCACAGACCAACAGACTAATAATATTCCATTGCTATCACGAACCAATTTCTCATTAACTTTGTTTATGTGCAATTAATCGTCCTACCTTCATCACATCCCAAGGATCCCAGTACTTGCGCCGATCTTCTTTCAATTTTTTAGTCACTCCAACCCAACCCACAAACGCCTCTTCCCAGTTATGGCCACATATCTTCAAATGTTCCAGGAAGTCAGCACACTCTTCAAATCCACCCGAATAAACATAACGAAAATCACCGTCCACATTCATGGTTTCATGATTCCCATTAACCTACAAGTGTGAAAACTACAGGTGAGTGGTCTGTGGTTCATTGTATATGTACGAGTTAGCCCTCGCTTTTTTAGTACTTCATGAATTTGAAATGATTTAAATGAGATGAGAACATCATAAACCAACCTACGGAAGAACAAGGTTGATGTCACTGATTTTTGCAGTGTCTAAATAATAATATCCATGAATTGATAATTGCAAACAATGCAAACAGAAAGCAGACAGCACAGACCTGGAAAACTGCACCTCCATTGACTTTGGCCTGGATACCCAGTGACTTCAACAATGACAAAATCGCAACTTCATTTTCACCCCTATCTAAAATATCTCCAAGCTGAACCAATACCTGACCATGATCATTAACAATTAAGTCACAAGGTTTAGTAATATTCTTAACCATTCAATTCTGAGTTACAGCTGTGATCGAGAAATGAGATATGATTTGCCTCCAAACAGTGTTTCACAAGCTAATCCAATAGTGAAATAAAAATCATACCGTTTGTCCACCGACCCATAAATCCTCACCATCAGCACTCAAGACTCCAGCCATCTGAAGAGCATACCTTGTTTTATCAAGATCTCCATGTAAATCCCCAACTGATAATCATAACAACACCATAAGGGGCAAAACAAGAGAACATATATGAACAGAATAAGTAATGTTTAGACGATTCAAGATGTATGACCGATCATATAAACACCGCTAGTAACAAATTACATTCTGTACACACACTGGACTAAATTTGACACTGATAACAAGAAGCATCATTCAACGTCAACAGCTAATTCCAAACCTGTAAGGGTAGCTACAACGATTATTTAGCTTGCCAAACAACCTACGCAAGCCAAACACAAAAAATCCCAGAAAAGTGCACACATTTATAAACTCTTGAGACAAAAAAATAAAAAATTGAATCTTTAACCAGAGAGTTGGTTACCGTACCTGCGATGATACGGCGGCCGGGGGCGGAGACGAAAGTCGGCGGATGGCCGTTGACGACGATGGGTTCTAAAGTTCCGCTCGAAGCTCCGACACGGCCGAGGTTGTGCGGAGTTGAAGCTGTGGAGGCGGCGCAGCAGCATACGGCGTCCAAGGCTCTGTGATTCTGCGGGCTCAGACACAGTTTTTGCAGAGGCCATGAACGGCCAAAAGGGAGGGACGCCATTATGATCCTGCGAATAAACAATTCGTTCAGCGACTCTGTGAAAATCCATTCACCATTTGTGTGTTATCCGACTGAAGAGAGAAGACCATCCACATGTTTTGCCACGCAGAGTCCATTTGGGCCAAAAATCACATCTTTTAATGTTTGAGATAAGAGGGATGCAATGAATATAGATATGATTTTTTTTTTTATCTTTAAATAAATTTGTATTGATCAAAATTTAAAGTCATACAACCGAGGCGGTTTTCAAGAGTAACCACAAGTCAGTTCCTCACTCGCAAGAACAAAAATAACGAGGACAATATTCTCCTCCAACAAAGATCCTCCAAGTGCTCAAGCTGTCAAGCATTTGGCACCAACCATCCCCAAAAATTATCAAAATTTTATACTTCAACGCCTAGGCTTCTTCTCTCAAATTCGGCAAGAATACTCGGAAAAAGAGCAAAAATAGATCGGTAAACGTGAGTCTTTAGCTTTCTAATCACAAGGCTTGGAGGTTGGGTTTCGTCCTCAAAAATCAATCGGTTTCGCGCATTCCAAATGAAGTAGACGGTGGCCGCAAGGCGCCGCTTTCTTCAATTTGGCTCTCCAAGTCGTACCTTTCTGTTCTTTTTTGGTCCATTTGAGGGCACCTTTTAGAGTGGTTAGCATGTAACGGAGGCTAACCCAAACTCGAATTGCACTCCATATCTCCGAGCTAAAGGGGCACTCGAAGAAGAGGTGGCTCGAGGATTCGTTCGCGCTAACAGAAAGGGGGCATGTCGGGTCTTCATTTAGGAACTCAAGACGATCTTTTGTTTGGAGCCTATTCATCACACAGAGCCATAAAATGAAGAAATGCTTCGGGGTATTGCATCTCCCCCAAGCAACCCCGGCCCATGGCTTCTCAATACCCTTTGGTCGGAGAAATCGTAACACTTGCTAGTACCGTCTTGTTTGTCGCGTAAACTCCACGCACGGAAGAGGGTTTCCGCACCGCGCTCGCTACCCGCCTTTTCAATCAAGCTTTGCCGGATTTCAAAGAGGGATTTAAAGAGAGGGGAGTCATTCTTGGAAATTTGCCGAATATAGATATGATTTTTTTTTTGTTAATTATATACTTATAGCTAATTTTGTAAAAAATTATATGGTTCTTTGTTAGTGAAAATTAAGTATAAATTAAAATTATATTTAAAGTAAAATAAATAAAGGTTATTTGATCTAAAAGTAGGAGAAAAATTATTAGAAGTGATAGTTAGTTAAAATTATATGAGTTGATGAATAGTGAATTAAAGTTGATATACGTGTAAGAATAATTGGTTGATATAGTTTAATTATATGATAATATTAAGGATACAGGGGTTGAATTAAGTTTAATAATCTATTTTTAACTTATAATTTTTTAGTTCAATCCAAGTCAATTTCTTTTATCACTTTCACTTAGAAAAAAAAAATGTGTAAAATTAATATTTTATCTAATTTTTTAATGGATCGAAATCATCGGCATGAATTAGAACCGGAGCCAACTGTTCACGAACCGGAACTGAGCCCCGCGGTTCATGAAATGGAAAATTTAAATAAATTTAATGTTTGGAGGAAAAATAATTTATTTTAGATTATAAGATACAATGTAATATGTAAATTTAATGTGATATAAAATAGTAAAAATAGTCCTTACATAAAATTAGTGTTAAAAAATATATGAGTGGATATATAACAGTTTTTATCGATAGAATGCAATAATAATTTTATGTTATTTTGAAATCATGCTAATATTTGGAGAAAAAATAAAATATGATGAATAGTAGTTTTTAAAACAATTTATATCCAATGACAAATTCAATTCAATGGAAAGAAAAATGGAGGAACGAAATAAAAAATAAACAT